CGTCAGATCTTTATCGATCGTAAGATTTTTTTTTATTTTTTTTTTATTTTCGAGGAAACTTTTGTGATATCCAACAAAGTCTCAGAGATCTGACTTATTTTCCTTTTTCGTATTACCTATGTATATGGGGAAGCATTTTTTTTTTTAGTTGAGGTCCGGAATAACTATTGCTCCGAGTAACCTTGGGGTCATTTTACCTCCAAAGAAACTTAATTTAGAGCGACACCAGATGGACTTTTATGCGAGAAATTCATATGTCTTTCTCTCGACGCATTGGCTGTTTTACGTTGCCCAAAGACCCATAATCTGGTTTTTACAGAAATCTCACGTGTTTATGGCCTCAACACTCCCCACCATGTGTGTGATTTATGGCTTTTGCGTGTCGTACATTTATAGGTTACACTCGTGAAGAACTGGATGTTTATCTTCCCTTTCGTGTCTCTCAATTTGGCGGGTGCTTTTAGTACGGCCTACTGACGTTTACTCGGTCCTTTTGTGTGGACGTGATTTTCCTCCAAGCGACGACCTTTCAACCCTCAAAAATATTTTTTTTCTTCTGTATTCTATGGACACACCAGCACTAATGGACCAACGTACAACGATTAAGATTTCACGTCGGTACCATCGATTATTCGTTTCGTATGTGTCACCTTGAATTACTTAAACATAAGTGTAGCAACACAAACGCCGTAGCTATATCTCAGATGTTCAATAATTAATCGTCCTCGAATACTAATAGAAATAGTTTTTTATTAGGTATTCTATTTTTACATCCCGGTCTGGAAAAAAAACTTTTTTTTATGATGAACTCACTGTAGTGTAATAATTCCAGTGATATTTTCTGACTAACCAGACATCACAAGTAACTTTTTAACGTCAAAGAAGCTAAAAGTAAATCGAGCCTTTAAAGAATTAAATACGTTAATTCAACATTCAGGTAACTACCGAATAAAGTCATCATTGGCATAAAAAGAAAATAGTCTGTCAATCTGAGGAAGGAGGCTTTGGCATCACTACGTGATCATTTAAAAGAGCATTACCTTCCTAACTTGTATTCCTCCCGATAAACGTCCCAATACTATATTCTTCGACTACACTTTGCTGTACCCACACACCAACGACTGGCGAAGATCTTCTTCTTGTAACTTGTAGAGGAGGATATAAAGGGATCCACGTGACGTGGAAAAGTAGCATCGACTGTTCGAGGGACAAGATTGATCGGCTGGGGGTTACTTTCGCACTTGTCTCACATTGACATCTACGTGGGTATCTCCTCCCCAGGACTAAACTCTTCGCTGAGCGACACGGATAATCCATATCCATCTACTTTTCGAGATACACGTGATCTTTTTCGTGCTGACATTACCTTACAGCAACTAATCCCACTTGACGTATGGCAAAGAGTGTAGTCGAGGGAGACCCACTACGGCTGCCCATATCAGTCATTATTGGATGGTATCAGCTACGGGGCGGCTGCTCATTCAATTTGATCTCATGTTTGGATACATCCCGATTGAAGGGACGACTCGAAAGTATCTATTCCCTCCCCCCTCACTCAGTGGACCTATTGATCACTTACTCGGAGATGCCAAATGTTGATTAATTACTTGTACTTCAATTTTCTTTACCTTTTTTCTTGCGATGGTATTCGGTAGCAAAAGTGGTCGAGGGACCAGAGGTTGTTTTTACGCACATTGAGTTCATCCTTTTCGTCAAACAGAGGGTATGGATATTAATCTTTCAGGGGATTTTTCTGCATAATTTCTTTTAAAAAAGAGTTCCAAACCATAGGGACAAGATAGGGATTCGTGAAAAGAAATCCTCCATAGGCTGGCAATTTATAACGAGTACTCGAGTCTATAGAGAAAAAATAAAAAGATGGAAAGGTATATATGTAAAAGGGGATTGGTCTCTGCTATAGCCAGGAAAGCTACTCTAGTGGGGCCTTAGGATGGCTAATCATCTGTAACCACCTTTACCCTCGGCATCTCCAAGCCACGCAGTTTTTCCCCAACTCACCCCAACCCCCATTCCCTTACGTATCGTCCAATTAGTTGGAAAATACCTGCGAGCCGACATTCATTGGCCTCCTCATCTTCTTCCTTCTATTTTTTTCTTCTCTTTTCTTCTCTTAATTGGTTCGACAAATGTACTCGCAGTAGAAAAGATTATGTTTTTCTTTTTGTACTTGTGCTGAAAGTTTAACATGTTTTTGAACTGCTGATAGCTTCCTTAAATGTTCAATCAAGTAAAGTTTTAAAAAAAATTTTTAGTATTCAATAGACCAATTAAATCATTTTCTTTTTTATTCAGAAAAAGTGCCATTAACATTCTCAGGAACTTTTTCATGCTTTGTTGTATTAACTGAATAATTACAGTTTTCTGACTGGCTGAAATTAAAAATTCAAAGCTGAAGACGCTTAAAAAGGCAGCTTTCTTTTAAAGTGATTTACTACCTTATTTTCCTACCCAATACCCCAAGTTAGCTGCAATTACAAAAAATTTTCGAACTAGATTTCATAAAAATTTAAGCATCAATTTTCTTTTGACCATCACCTTTTTCAGGGACTTTATTTATCTTTTGGACTGCTCTGTACAAGTTTTAACCTACTTTTAGATTATTTCTTACATATGATATACATTATTGAAATAATTAATTTAGGGGTGGGAGAATTTAACATGTTTAGTCGTGGCTAACCTGTGTGGCATTGAAACTATTTGTTTTAGTGAATTAGAAAGGTAACCACAAATCAGAATCACGAGTTTCGAATTTCAATTTTCAAGTTTCTTAACACAGGCGTTGATCGCGTCAGTCGTTAATGTCGTTCAACGCAAAACCACGAATGCCAAACTTTAACGGGCAGCAGCAGTAGTAACAGCAGTGCCTGGAAAACAGCTTTTGTGGAGTAATGAATTGTTAGTAGCAACTGTTGTTTTGATTCTCAACTTTTGTATTCCTCGTAACTCGATAATCTCGCAAATTTTTTAGTCACATTTCGTTTTATTGCAATAACAACTCGTTGCTATTTGTGGCGATACCAATCATAATACTGACAAGGGTTGCATACATTTAGAGAAAAAAACTTAATTGGTGTCGTGGATTAATAGGCAGGCTCGTTAAAAATACCAATTTGTGTAGACGTGGTAAAAGGGAAGTTCCTTCCTTGGAGCGTTGAATTAATGCCGCCGTATAGTGGAAGCTGCGGACGCGTATAAGTCGCGCGTTTAGTCGAATCTCGTTAGTGAAATTGGAAGGGNGCTTCACTCTACCGTTGTTTTCACTCGATTTTTATGTATTCCCAGCGAGTCGCGCGACCGCGGCTTGCGCTAACCCATTAGTCCCCTTCCGCTGGTACATGCCACCACTGGTAGCTACAGTTATTTGGTACTGTTAACGTATTTTTTTTTTTTTTTTTTTTGGGGCCAAGCGATTTTCGATCAGCACCAGCTCCGCGTCACGAAGAATCGGGTAAACGAGGGTGACGCTGACGTATCGCCGATCCGCAACCACCCGCTATCAAAGTTAAATAGAAACACCCACATTTCTATCCCCCTCAGTTTTTGTCTGATTTCCTCGCTCCATTGATTGCTCTTTTTCCCTTTCATTTTAATCCTATGGAAAAGTTTTTTTTTTCTTTTTTTTTCAATACCTTAAGTGAATGGATTCAATAATTTTACAATAGAATACAATACACAATAACGACGAAGAAATAAACAATCAATTGCTTACATTATTAAAAAGAAAAAAAAAAGATTCTCCAATTAACAAATTGTGTCACATCTACTCGTTTATTCACGTTTTCTTACATCGTTAGTATCGACGTTCTTTTATTGGTAATAAAATATTAAGGGAGCAAGAACGGTGAGGACATTGAGAAAGAAGTCGACAGGAAGAAATTAATATTTGAGGGTCACTGAATCAGAAATCATTTATATCAGATATCGATTCGCATAGCATGAAATTTATAAAATCTTGGCACTCAGTTACAGGTACATAACATAAAAACTAACAAGGTGCTTGAAAAAAAAAAAAAACTAAAATAACAACAGCGATCGTAAAAAAATGTCCACCTCCTGCTCTAACGAAGTGTCGGGATGTCGAGAACTAGAAATATAAGTGCACATTGTATATTGTAGAGCTTCAGCCAAGAGCTATGCAAACGAGTAGCACGTGCATAACAACGACTTCTCCATTTTCCAAAATTGCTATACCAGCAGCTAACCACCACTACCTGAAGCGATGCTTTTACGTAAAGTATTATGTAATTTATTGAAGCTTTAAAAGTTGAAAGAGGTTTCCTGGAATCTATGACTATAAGTACGGCGATTGCTTTGTCCGATGAAACCAATGCACTGGTCGAGTGTGAGGGTATGTTTGTGCTGATTTTTCCCTTGTACGTTTTCTTGGTATAAATACGACCTGATAAGTTGCTATAAGCAGTTTTAAGGCACAATTAGGTCGTAACGCACAGCATTAACTTTTACAATGCCCGAGTGATGGAATAAAAATCTAGTTAAGCCGCAACGAGAGAGTTTCTTTAAAAAGTTTTTATCGACTTGCAAATTTCTCCTCTGTCTCCCTCTATTTTTGCTCCGTTTAATTTTTCTGCATATTTACGCGTACCTGTATACGTACTGTTTACCTTTTTTTTCCATTTCCCGACGAAATTCTCGAGTTCGAAGGATAACAGTACTTACGGTTTATTTAAAAGAAATCGATATCATCCTACGATCTTTTAAACGGGAATTGCAGCACTTGCGTAATGTTCACGCTACTTGGAATAGCTCTTTGGAAAATGTAATCGTTATCGCAGCTACATTTTGCACGATCCCGTCACTTATGTCCTTTTATTCTTGCATACGCCAACCGTGTACGCGATACGAGTTTCTTCAAATAAAAACACTTTATTCATAAGCATGCATAAGTAATATTAATCTCAAGTACGGTATCGGAAAATTGAAGATGGATGTGATTTCATTGAATTTTCAAGAAAGTCATAAACATGTAAATCGAGATTTCATCTCAGTCCCAGAGGCGGGAAGGGTGATCCTATCTGTGCATAATTAACCTCCCGTAAGTCGAGCGCGACGATGCAAGTAGGGCGATTTTTTGTCCTGTCAGAACACGCGAGCCGCGTATCAATCATACTCACCTTCTCTCAAATTTCGTGACATTTTTGCGGGTGATGTGGATCTGAACACGTCGAGACTGTAGTCGACCGGCGATACTCGAAACATTATCGCATCATCTCCTGACCAGAATCTCGTCGTTTTTTTATTACGTGATTTTATTTTTCTTGTAGGCACACACGAGTAGCCTTGGATTACAATGCCACCTTTTGATACGTTTCATCGAGAGAATAATATTTCAAGCCATGGTTGTTACAAAAAAAATGTCAGGGTACGTCATTAACTATGTCACCGATTTTAATAGTTTGGGGCTTCAATTTTTGTATCTCGTTGAAATTTTACTTTGCAGGATTTCTAATATGCTGGGACGGGAACAACAATTAAGGTTTTTTTTATTTTAGTGGCATAGTTTTCAGGTACCAATAGAGTTTGGACAATAATTGCATACATGATTTTCTATAATAATAACTTATGACTAGAAAAATTGATATATTTGACTGTATCTCGTACGGATAAACTGGCTGTGATTTTTTAATTCCATTGAGTTCAAAAAGTCGACGTACTTTCACGTTCTGGAAGTAGGTATAAGTTTTTTCGTTTTTTTTTTTAAAGCAAATAGAGATCGGGTCGGCTACGCCGCAATTTCATCTTTTCCTCGCTAATGGATAGTAGAAGCTGCATTGGTTTTTTTTTCCTTGGACTCGTTCGTGTCCCTTTGCGTGGAAGTCAAAAGTTTTGGGGTCCCTATGAGTCTCCGACCACCTATATGTACCTCCAGGAAGCAAAGAAGGTGTAACTTGAGAAACTGGTCTCCTCTTCCGTCGTCGTCATCTCGGAAAAGATCGGCGAAAGCTTAATTTCCTCAAATTTGCGGGAAAAAGTTTTACGGGAAAACTGATATGGACTCCCCTTCCTTCCTACAGATAACAGAGCGATTATCGAACTTGAGGTAAATTTTCCCTACCCCCGACTTTTTTTGGAGGAAGAAAACAGTCCGAGGAAGAAGAGGGAAAGGGTATTACTATCGATCTCCTACAAGTTTTGTACAAACTGAAATTTTTTAAATAATTTTTTGATCTCAATCGAAAAATAACTCACCTGTAGATTTTTCATTCGAGCTCAAAATAATAATTTAACGAATGCACGTATCGAATTTCGAAAAAAATGAAATCTCCAGTATACATCCATAAGGCTGCTATTTTACACTTATTTGATACAATCTGTCGCGATTTATAGTTGTAGATTCCATTCCGTCACTAAAATCCCTATCAAATACAAGCAGTTACTGTGAGTATTAGGGCTTTCGAAGTTTCTTGACGTCACGCGTCAATTGACAGATGCCGATCGGTCGGATCGTGTGTCTTCTCGTTCTGATCTTGTGGTCTGGAAAACCATACAAAAAAGGATCCCCAGAATTGAGAAGCTCTTCAAAATCACACGAATTGGATCCACTAGTGGATTTGCAGGATATTTCGTTAGCAAAATGAAACAAAAGATCTGTCACGTTGACTACACGTGAACTACTCAAAAGTTTCTTTTTTAATTTATTACAAGCACTTTCAAGTAGTTGTTGGAGACATTCATTTGGGATTATTGGGAAACTCATCCATACAATTACTTCAAATAAGTGTACAAGTGTAATACATGCTATATAGATAAAATCAATTTACAACTGAGAAAGTTGAGACTCGTATAGCTTGACATCCAATCAAACGAGCAAGACGAGGAGAAGAGGGTTGGGGAAGGGGTTCATTTACATCGGGACATACGATACCGGCGCATTGAATTTCTGTTCCTCCATTGAAAACGAGACTCCAGTATGGGAACAGCCAACTCGGGGTTAGTGTGGACCTAAGGACTAAACACTCCAATTGAGACAGACAAAAGGTGGGGAGGAGAGAGCAGCACCTGAAATGAGCTCCATATGCGAGTATTCCTGGCATCAGAGAATGTGACAACTTTGGCGTCAGGGAAACGGAGATCGAATATACTCGAAACAACTTTGACTTCGTTGACGTAGTTAACTGCCACTGTTATTGTCTCCAATACTCGCTGATGACTTTGTCCGTCTCTCCACTTCATCCCTTGTTTACGCAAACGAGTGCATTTGCTCGTAGTTGGGGTGACATCCACGGAAGTTTTGCCGATTGCCCCTTTCCTGAATCAATTGTCGAATGATCGAATTGGACACGAAGAGACAAGGAAATTACTTATGGGATGTTGTATCTAATTACTTGGGAAAAGGTCGAGTTTTGAGTGTTGCTAGTTATTGGTGGAGCGATGAGCTGCACATCACATAAAGTAAGAAAACTAAGAAGTTTATTGAGTGTTTTGAGTCGAGGGATCAAGTGGCCTATAATGTATGAAAAAGAAACTTTCTCTCTAGAAAAACGCAGATTTATATACATTAACGAATTGGTAGGCACTGGTAGAATCTTTCAAAGAAACTTTCTGGCACTTACGGGATCGATTCTAAAGTAAGATCACAAAGACTCACACCAAGATAATTACGACAACCGTGGAGATTTAAAAAGTCATAGATTTCCGCTTTAATTACCATCAGTTAAGAAAACCTTTTTTAAGTATCAAGTGATAAAAAAATTTGAGTAACTCCATAAACACTTTATCTTAAAGCCCGAAATTTTCGGCTATAAATTACTGCTATTCAAAGCTGTTCTGATTTTTAATTTTCAACACTTGCAGTTGCTCGAGGTTTTGATAATTCAAAAAAGGAAATAAGTTGATCTTCTCTCCCGTCGTCAACTTGGATTGTATAAAAAACCCCTTGGTCAGCTTGTAAACTTGTACAAGTGAGTGAAAACGTTGATATGAAAAGAAGATCACAGCACGAAAGGGAAACTGTGTACAAGCAGTAATGATGTATATCAGTCCAATTATAGCTTTAATGTGTAGTGGCATGTGTTCGTGGTCTGTCTTAAAATGTGTGTGTGTGGGAGGAGGAGGGGAGGATAAGGGAAGCTTTGAAATGCAAATCTCGCGAAATTGCTCATTAGCCCAGTTCTACTGCGAGTGGGAGGAGAGAACATTGCGAGGAACAGAGAGAGAAAGGTACAACTGCATCGCCGGCAGCCAATTGTATACGGCTGATTAGACTCCCTCCACGGGAGTCTCGAGTGATAATTAATTTTCGCAGTCTCTATCACGCCCGTAGCTCCCTACTGGCGTTAATTTTAGAGATACGATGGGTATTCGTTCGGTGGGTAGAGTAACCCAGTAAGAGGATAATTTTTCACGATTTGCAGGTCTCAGGGTCATATGTGTGCTGAATATATATCGAGGGGATTATACATCATTGGCCTGCGGTACCGGTAGGTGCAAGTGCAGTGAAAATTGTTACGCTGCTGGCAGCTTTACTTCCCCCATCTCTTACCGATGAAATACGACTGAGGAGGGATGAAACACTTTGAGCGTGTATTCAGCGCAGTGATTGGGTACCCTTTTTTTTCTCTTATATTTTTAGACACGACCAATACATAAAAGTGCCTTCTATTTTTGTCAAAGCAAACGTATAACCACTTGTAAAATGTCCATTTAAGGAGAAAAATGTAAACTTTAACGTAATGTTGAAAGTATTGAGTAATATCAGATTGCAATAGTCGTAGATTTCAAATAATATACTATTTTTTACATTGCACGATTTTCCCCGTCACTGATATCTGATATTTTTTCGATGGTTCGACTTACCATGTGGTATTAATTCAAAAAAGAAAATTTGAGATTTTCATCATGCAATGGATAAAATTTTTATGAATCATATGAATTTGGTACTCTTCATACGTGATATTTTTTTTCAATACATCAAGACTCACTAAAATACGAAGAGAGAGAGGAGACATGAAAATAATGCACCATTGGAAGCTAAAAATATCTTTCCCCTTCGTACTTCATAAAGGGGATAAGCAGTTCCAGAAGTAGGGCGCAGTAACAGATATGTTTATAAAAGGGGACCCGGAGAGACCTACCATA